ATGCTCTGTGAAACCCAACGCAAATCCAGCGGAGCTCGAACCCTAACGCATACCCTAGTGACGTCGAACTCTAACCTCGAGCCAACCCCCACTTTAATTAGGTCGCAATTAGCGATTGATTGATTGCTCAAGGATGTGTAAAAGATGATATATTCAATGTATGTTAAAAAAGTTCAAGCCAAACTGTTTTTATAGAAGATTTTCAAAACTGGTGGTTTAATTAATCTGTTAAAAGATTCTTTTAATCTGTTAAAAGTGCAGTTTTAATCTGTTAAAACTTCTTTTAATCCATTAATACGTTCTTGATTCTTTAACTGATTTGTTTTAACCGATACGACAACGTTTATATCAATTAAAACACTTTACAAAAAATCTTCTAAGTTGATTTAATCGATTGTTTCGCGATTCAATCGATTGAAATACTTGCAAAACTTTCTCGTGACACTTTTCAAGTAATTTTAAGCTGATAAAAATAAGTTTTAATCGATTAAAGCGTCTGTCAGAAATTGTTTTAATCGATTGAAACGAGATTTAATCGATTAAAATAGTTCTGATCGGTCATAACTACATTCTGATCGATCATAATTGAAACAATATAATAGCGGTTCCAGGTTAACCGCTATCTAAAATGTATCTCGCTTGAGCGACACCCTTCTCGCTCGAGCGAAACGCCCCCTGCACAAAATTAGCATTCTCGGGTTGTATTTCGCTTGAGCGACACTACCCTCGCTCGAGCGAATTTAGATTCTGATCGATCATAACTTGAAATGATCGATCATAATTGAGAGGATATAATAGCGGTTCCCTTATAACCGCTATCTAAAGTGTATATTAGATAGCGGTTATAAGGGAACCGCTATCTAAAGTGCATATTAGATAGCGGTTATAAGGGAACCGCTATCTAAAGTGTATATTAGATAGCGGTTCCCTTATAACCGCTATCTAATATACACTTTAGATAGCGGTTCCCTTATAACCGCTATCAGTAAGTAAAAAATAAAATAAAAAAAGACTTTCAACGTCGGTTCATATGGGAACCGACGTAGAAAGTACTTTCTACGTCGGTTGACTAAGAACCGACGTAGAATGTGTTTAATATTCAATTTCAACGTCGGTTCATCTGAGAACCGACGTGGAAAGTACTTTCTACGTCGTCTCAGCTATAATCGACGTTAAATAACGACGTAGAAAGTATATTTTGTAGTAGTGACAGATCACCTTCACGTAATTTTTCATGCTACACATTTCATGATGAATCCATGTCATTTGGTTATGTCAAGATGAGTAATCATTGTTGGTTTTAGTTGCGATGATGCAATGAAAAGCTGGTTTGGTTCTATATCCTGATATGATTAATGGACAAGACTTTTGGAATATGCTAAAGGAATATAATGGCAATCTTGAGCTCATAAAGTCTAACACATTTGTAAGGTTGTAAGGACATATATATTTGTGACCAGTGAGAGATTGTTGGCAAAATTTGGGTCATGTATATATATATGAAACATATTTAAATGTGTTAGGGTCATTATTTATTAAGCCAAATAATAAAGTGATCTGACTAAATTAAAGTTTTTGCTAAAGACATATGTCATGAAAATAAAAATTGTGTAGAGACCATAGAGTAATTTCTAATTTGATGAGGGGCCAAATTGGAAATACTAAAACTTAAGTAATTAACCTAATTCTGGTTATATAAAGGGTCATGGTCCCCTTCTGGGAGCACACAGACAGAACGTAGTTACAATCTCGTTCTTTTCTTTCTATCCCCATCAAGAGAGAAAATCAAGAGGAAATACAAGTGCTTCTTCGAGTGGAAGACCATAAGATCAATAGTGCTTCTAAAAGGGACATCATCATTATAACTAATTCAGTGACGCTTTCGCATTTAATTTATAACATGTTTACAGTATGAGATTACTTTATATTTGATTGTTAAATTAAATATCATAATTAATTTCAGTTTACCAAACATCTAAAACCAAGATGAAGGAATACTATATTTGGTATAAATATTGGTTGTTTTAATCTAGATTTGTCTCCTATATGTAAATTATCTTTTATTTAGGCTCTGTTAATTTATAATATTTTTTTTCTTTGCATATTTTTGATGTATCATTTTGTGGCTCCTTTCGCTTTCCATGATTTTAGATATAAGGGAAACATTTAATTCAAATTTGCAACATTTTACACGTAGTGAAAGGCTTTGTCGGGACTTCATCGTTCGTTCGGAGATAACAAAGATTCTAGGACAGATTATAAGTTAAACGTGGTACAAGAGTTTTAGGGCACGTGACTAAAGCGAGTAGTGGATGTCACTACTGGAGAAAGAAGAGACAAAAGATGAGTGAGAAGGAAGCACACAGTAAAGGTTTGTTTCAATTTCGAATTCTTTTTACTGAAAATGTGAAAAATTAAGCAAAAAAATGCCATTAAAAAAGAAAAAATGTAGTGATAAAAAAATATATAATCTCTTATGAACGCATAATAATTGTTTATATGTACTATGTCAACATTTGATGAATATATAGCATTTATCAACTTTATTTACTGATACGGTTGACTAATTAGGATATATCTACTATTAGCAATTCATGAAAGATATTTTTTATTATAATAATTTAAAATATAGATTTATTATGTTATATTATATTTAATTAACTTATCTGATTTTTTTAAAATTTAATATTTTTCCTTCTTTCACTACTACAAAATATGCTTTCAACGTCGCCATTTAACGCTTCAAAGCTGACGTTAAATGACTTTCAACGCTCGTTGATTAAAACCGACGTTGAAAGTTGACATTCAACGCTCGGTTGATTAAAAACCGACGTTGAAAGTTGACATTCAACGCTCGGTTGATTAAAAACCGACGTTGAAAGTCGACATTCAACGCTTCGGTTCATCTCGAACCGATGTTGAATGTCAACTTTCAACGCTTCGGCTCATCCTGGAACCGATGTTGAATGTGTTTTCACCAAAAATTCTTTTAAGTTAGAGAATTGTCACCTAGCAAGGTTCGAACCCAAGACTTTAAAGTTGAAAGTTGATACTCCAACCACTAAACTACCGTAATTTTCTCGATAATAACTTACAAATTAATTATATTTATATACAAATAAATATATATTCCGTATAAATATATATTTATTTATATTTTCTCGGAAAGTGTTTTTATTTTTTTCAGCCAAAAATTCACTTAAGTTAGAGAATTGTCATCGACGAGATTCGAACCTAGTATTTTAGAATTGAAAGCTAATACTCCAACCACTAAACTACTGTAATTTTCTGATAATAACTTACGGATAAATTATATTTATATACAAATAAATATATATCTCGTGTAAATATATATTTATTTATATATATTTTCTGGAAAGTGTTTTTATTTTTTTCAGTAAAAAATTCACTTAAGTTAGAGAATTGTCACTAATAGGATTCGAATATAGTATTTTAGAGTTGAAAATTAATACTCCAACCACTAAACTACTATAATATTTTGATAATAATTTACAAATAAATTATATTTATATACAAATAAATATATATCCGTGTAAATATATAAATACAAATATATTTATATATTTTTATGTTGGATGTGAGGGTGCGATCGAGGGTGAAAGTGAGATTGACTCTCGTTTGAGTGAAAATACGTTAAAGCTCACGAAATTCACTCGTTCAAGCCTAGCTTGAGCGAAAATTGGTATTTTTCGCTTGAGCGAATGTGTCACTTGAGCGAATGATGCGTTTTTCAAATTTATTTTATATCATTATATAAATAAATTATAAATATTATATTCCGTCATTAAATTACAAACCCATATATAGAGACTCGCTCACAAATTTGGCATTAAATTTTGAAAACCCACTCGACACACACTTTCACCTTTGAGCGTGCCCTCACATCCAATATATAAATATATAATTATATAAATATATCAAAATATATAAATATATTTGTATTTATATATTTACACTGGATATATATTTATTTGTATATAAATATAATTTATTTGTAACTTACTATCAAAAAATTTGAGTAGTTTAGTGGTTGGAGTATCAGCCTCCAACACTAAGGTACTCGGGTTCAATCCGTCAATGACAAAAAAATAATTTGGTAATGCTTTAAACTTAAAAAAAATATGATAAATAATAAAAATATAATATAAAAGAGAGAGGGACCTAATAAAAATATAATATAAAAGAGAGGGGGATTTCTAGATAAATAGAGGGGTTGGAAAGGTTGGAAATAAATAAAAAAATTTAATTTGAAAAATCAGACTTTCAACATCGGTTCTATTTAACCGACGTTGAAAGTCTTAACTTTCAACGTCGCCGATACAACGCTCGGTTCGGAACCGACGTTGAAGACCTTCCGAACCGACGTTGAAGGCCTTATTTGTAGTAGTGTTTTTATTAATTTTTGTAAATTTACTTCATAAAAAAACTAGTAAAAAGTTTTAGGATTGTTATAATAAAAAGTTATTTTAATATATATATATATATATATATATATATATATATATATTCCAAAAATATAGAGAAGTGTAAGGAACTATCTTAGATAATGAATTTTTCATTTAGTAGTTGATGATTAAATATATTTAAAAGTAACATCCAGTATTTTAAATCAAATTTGGATGTGTTTAGGTAATAAATCAACAAAAAGTAAAAATTTCTCAATACATACTTGAAGAAGATATAAAAAATGAGCAAATATTATTTACCTTCAAATCTAAACTCATGCATGCACCCACTTTTGAGGTAAATAATAAATTATAACCCACCCACATAATTCCAATAAAAATATTAGACTTTTGAATTGCACTTCAAATGTTATTTATTATTGAGAGACAACAATTTTCTTTTCCAAAATTAGCATGTCTTAATCCTCAATTAAGACAATTTTTCATAAAAAAAAAATAGACCAAGTAATACTCATTTAAAGAATAAATATTTAACACCTTTTGAAATAAACATTATTCATTGTTTAACTATTTTCAGTTTTGAGAGTTAAAAACATGTAATGGTAACCTACACTTAACAAAATCGATCAGAATAGCATACTCTTCACAAGACTTTCTATCCATATCATTCCTCAACAATTGAGGAAAAAACAACCAATTCGCAGTGACAGTCAAGAACACCACCACCAGTAGTCCTGACACCACACAGTTGAATCGCCACCCGTGACGGAGAGCCACCTTCTTTGCTGCCACCTCCGCCGCTGTGCAAACACCATGAAGCGCAAAAAAACATGTTACTTCCCACGTAGGAGGCACACGAATGACGTAATAATAAATCAACTCATGCATGAGTCCGGACACAAAAAATGTGGCGAACATGGCGACTAACATGGCATACGAAGGATCCATGAAACTGGTTGATATACGTCGTACAGGGTCATATACCGTGGGACGCAGAATACGAGAAACCATTAGGTTCCATCTATGACCCCAGAAGTCTTGAAGAGAGGTTGAAAGGTAGGGTTCGTTAAATTGTGATTCTATCTCAAAGCCAAAAATGGTTCGAACCGGGATTGCAACGATGGCAAACACAACCTCTAAGCCAAGGTACAAGTGACAACAGTAGAGTACTAATATAAAGTAAGGGTGCAAGTGTTCATTGTAATCATAAACACGTGCGATCATTGCGAAAATAAGCACTTTTAGGGGCAAAAGCCATTTGGGTTTGTTGGTGGTGTTGTGTTGTTTGGTTGGTGGTTGTTGTTTAGGGGTGATGGGGAGGGAAGCGATGGAGATGAAATGGAGAATGTTTGGAGGAGATAGGGCAAGAGGGCCTTGGTTGAAGGAGAAAAGGAGGAGCTTGAAAGTGCCAAGCCAAACAAGGAAGAAGGAAGTGTACCCAACTAGGTTTGGTGAAGAGATGTCGAAGGGAAGGGTGATGAAGAGGTAAAGAATGGGAGTGAGGGAGAGAAGTCTCAGGAAGCCCTTTGGTATTCTTGCAGATATGAAATAGCAATAGAATAGACCTAAGATGGCTGAAAGCCATACTTTGATGAACTTTTTAATTTCACCCTCCATCTCCATGAATCTATCTCCTTGAAATGTCTATGGAAATTGTGAGTAATATTATAGATGGGAGGAACATTCATTCAAACATTTTTTTCAATCAACATGTGACGTTGAAAATTTTAGGCTGGAATGACAATTATATGTAAATAATTGATCATGTGGTATACAATATATAACCCAATCCACAAAAATATATTATATTCAAAAGTAAACGAGTGGTTCTATCATTCATGTATTTACTCTTACATGTTCCTTTTAATATTTTTCATTGCCGCCAGACATTTCCTGTCTTTCTTCAATAAATTATTCGCGGCAGAAGAGGCAAAAACTGGGACGCGCCTCTCCATCATATGATATAAATTTAATTAAAATTTTGACTCTTCCTATCGATGTTTGTTTTTATGTAGATTTATCGTTTTATTTTTTTTACTTTTTACTTTATCTTTTGTTTGGTTGTTGTTTTAGATTTTGTTTTCATTAGATATTTTGTCATGAATCAGGTTTCTTTCGTTTCCATGCTTGGGATTGAGTTCGCAACGAATAAAAGAAGTTTTACGAATGGATGGATTGCTTTGGAAATTGTAAAATTCTGTCGAAGGAATAAAAATTCATCAAAGTTGTATTATCCGAAAATTTTGGCGAGATTGAAATACCATAAAGTGTGATCAAATGTAGTGTCATAAATGCATGCTAATAAAATACGAATAAAACTTGATTTTTGAGGGCATATATAATTATTGGCTTTAGAAATTTATATGAGATGGAAAAAATAGAGAAGAAAAAATGAGTGAGATGTATTTTTTAGGAATGTGAAGTGGTCTATTTACAGGTGTAGTATGGGTAATAGATTCATCTCCACACAAGCTCACGTACAACGTTTAAAATGTTTTGTGTAACCCTTATGCCTGAAATCCAGTAACTTTTACCTGTTTTGCGAGTGAATGACACCTAGAAATGTGGAAGAGGCATGTTATTGCAGTTGAACCAGGTTTTACAGAGCGCAACTCTCGTGAACAGCAATTTCACATTCGTGGGTTTTTGGGAGATTTTGTTTGCAATACACTATTTTCCTAACAATTTCTCACGTATTGCAAAATCAAAAGAGATAAAGAAAATTTGGGTCTTATATAAGATGTAATGCATTAAAGCTGATATAGAAAACTATATGAATCAGTCATAGACTTGAAACTTAACACACAGTATAGTTGATATAACAATTTATATAAACAAACACACTTAGTGTGTGTTGGCGGTTTAACAATCATAATACACCCTCAAAATTCTTGTTGTTATCATTGTCTTGCGCTTACTAGGTCATGTGTGTGCCCGATATTTATGAGTGCTCTAAAAATTTTGCAAAGATCTCATACAAGTAGCTCCACTTAACATTATATAGGTGATTTCATCAAGTGTATGCTACAAAACATACACCACTGGTAAGAAATATGAAATCATTAAAAACATTGTTTAGAATAAAATTTGTACACCACATAGAATTTTAATTATAAAGTTTAACCTCTCATTGATGCAGTGTCTAACAGTTTCATACACATCATAGGAATAAACATAATTGTTTTTAATCAATTTTAGTGCTAGCAGAACTAACAAGTAATTTGTTTTTACCTAAATGAACCTTATTCATGAGATCTCTAATAAAAAAAGTTAGGTTATCATCACTTGTTTGTTTGCAAGTGGCTTGAGTCTCATTCCCCTTGATATTTCTAAAATCATGTTTCTCCTTTGGGATTTCGTCAAAGGATTTACTAGATTTCGCTCTGATTTCACATAGTCAATGAAAATTGTTCCATTCTTTAACAACTGTTTCACCAAATTGTATCTCAATTGTATATGTCTATCCTTTCTATTGTATTTATTGTTTTTAACTATATTTATTTCCGATTGATTATCACAATGTATTGACATAAAAGGGGTTGGTTTCATCCCTAACAGAATGTTTGCTAAGAAGTTTTTCAACCACTCGATTTCACTACCAGCCATTTCAAAAGCAACAAACTCTGATTCCAATATTGATCTTGCAATGATTGTTTGTCTGGTTGATCTCCATGTAATTGCACCACCCCCAAGTGTAAATATATAACCACTAGTGGATTTTAACTCATGAATAAGAGATCCAGTTAGCATTATTGTACCTTCTAGTACAATGAAAAATTCACTATCTTCAATGGCATAACCACTAGTGGATTTTATCTCATATGAATCAGAGATCTAGTTAACATTATTGTACCTTCTAGTACAATGGAAAATTCACTATCTTCAATGACATAATTCATTGAACCTCTTAAGTATCTCATAAGCCTTGAAAATGCATCCCAATATTTCTGATTAGAACATTGAGTGTATTTACTCAGTCTACCTATTGCATAAGTAATGTCAGGCCTAGAAAAACCCATTAAATGCAGTAAACTGCGGTTGAAAAATAGAGTCTCCTCTATTTTTCTTTAATTTAGAGTTAGCATCTTAAGAGGTACTCACTGCTTTAAAGTTATAATACCCAAACTTCCTATGCAGTTTCTCAATGTATTGTTCTTTGGATAGTAGAATGTTATCTCCCTTCCTTATGATTCTAACTCCTAAAATCACATTGGTTACATGCATGTCTTTCATTTCAAATTTAGATTCTAGAAACAACTTAGTTTTAGAGACTATATCAATATATGTACTAAATATTAGCATGTCATTTAAATATAAGCATATAATGACACATTCAACAATTTCAAATTTATAGTACACACATTTATCAACATCATTAGTTGAAAAACTATTACAAGGTAGAACATTATCAAGTTTTTCATGTCATTATTTTGGTGTTTGTTTTAATCAATACAAAGATTTTAAAAGTTTGTACACTTTGTTCTCTTAGGAACAACGTACCCTTCAAGTTGAATCATATAAATTTCATCCTATAATTCATCATTCAGAAAGGTTGTGTATAACTAGCTTATGGATAATTGCTAAAACTAACAAAATTCGAATAGAGGAAATCCTAGTCATATCAAAATAATCAATGTTATGTTCTTTAGTAAAACATTTTGCTACTAATCTTGCCTTTTTTTTTTCTATGGATCCATCGGGATGATACTCTTTCTTAAAGATCCATTACAACCAACGGGTTTTGCTATTTATCCCAATGTATTGTATTAGGAACACTAGTAGCCTTTAAAAAACTCATTGGATAATTTTCAACTAGATAAGTGTAAAAATCATCTCTAAATGAAGTTTCCTGTCTCTGTTTTTTACTTCTCAAATCCTCATACATGTCATCATTATTAAAATTTATAGATTGTTTAGGTGTCTCAGTAACCTATAAAGGAAAAATATGCTTAAAGAACTTAATATTTTTTCTTTCCACTATAGTATTATGCTCAATTATCTCACTTTTAAGGATAAAAAAACCTATAGGCACCATTGTGTTCTGCATAACCTAAGAACATGCAATCAAAAGTTGTAGTCTATTTTCCTTTTCTTAGGATTGGATAGGCACCCTACACTCTTAGGCATTTAAGATTAGATTGATAATCTCTCCATAACTCATAGGGAGTCTTACCAGTTTTCTGATGTGGTATCTTATTTTGTAAAAACCATATTGTAAATAGGGCTTCACCCTAAAGGTTATCAGGTGCACTAGAATTAATAAGCATGTAATTTATTATTTGTTTAAGAGTTCTATTTTTTCTCTCAGTTACTCCATTAGACTCGGGTGAATATGGTGGAGTCACTTCATGATAACACAATAATCATTAAATAATACATATTCAACACTTCTATCTGATTTAATCCTCTTAATTTTCCTATTTAATTGATTTTCTACTTCCGTTTTATAGGTTAAGAACATGTCAAATATTTCATGCTTATGTTTGATTAAGTGTACTTTGGTGTATCTAGAGTAGTCATCTATAAATGTTACAAAATAATTTTTACCACATCTAGATATGGTTTGTTTTAGATCAATTAGATCAGTATGAATCAATCCTAAAAGTTCAGTTTGACATTCTACGAAGTGACACATCTTTTTTGTTATTTTAGAGTATACACATATATCACATTTCTTACTTTGTTTATCATACATATTAATTAATCCTAGTTGTTGCAATTTTATAACATACGAGGAATTTATGTGTCCTAATCTAGCATGTCACACATCATACGAATCAACAATATAAGCAGAAGAACCAGATTCATTAACAACTTCAGAGATGTTAAGTACAAAAAGATCTTGATCACAATATCTCTTCCCCACAAACACATTATTTTGTCATAACAATCTTATCATATTCAAATGACACTTTAACCCCAACTTTTTTCAGTAGTGCTACAAAATTAGATTAACTCTTATTGATGACACATGTAACACATCGCTCAAGGTCAGATTCTTCATTGATATGAGCTTAAGAATAACTTTTCCTTTTTCCTAGGACAGGAGTTGTCTTGGAATCACCGAGATAAACATGTTCTTTTCCGTCTCTCACACTAGTATATGAGGTAAAAACACTTCTATTTACACATATGTGTGTGGTAGCACCAGAGTTTACCATTCATTTTCTCATATTTGTCACAAGGTTTATTTAGGAAACACCCGCAACAATTATATCTTCTCCTTTGGCTAAATTTTCCTTAGGCAGGTTGTCGTTTCTTATTCTACATCTGCACTGAGGTGCATGATGGCCTGACTTTCCACAGATAAAACAATTTTCCTTCTTCTTGAAGGTGGGGTTAGATCCATTGGGACGAAAATTAAAATTATTTTTCTTCTTATGATCAATTTTTTTTCTTGTACCTTTTTGGAGTTGGTTTGTCTTCTACCATATTTGTCTTAGATGATAATGCCTTAGTCCTTGCAGTTGCACACTCCTTCCGGTTGGTGTCTTCTATGATGATGTGTGTGATAAGATCTGGTAGTGACATCTGTTTATGCTTGTACTTCAGTTGTTGTTTGTATTTTATCCAGGATTCTGAAAGCTTTTCAATTAGAAGTTTTTAAAATGAACTCA